GTTAAACAGTAAGTCGATATTGTGACAGGCAATAATCGTACATATCATATGATATGTTGATAACACATGTTCTGTTTTTGTTTGTTTTTTTTCTCCCAGAATGCGGACCAGCACTTGTTTACGTTCCCTTCAGGTTATGGTCAGTTTGCCCTAGGTGTGTTCGACGACCGCTTTGACTTTGGGGCTGGGCTGGGAACAGAGGACAACCGGGATGCTGAAAACAGGCGGGAAAGGGAAAATGCATCACGGCAACGGTATGGTGCCAGGCAACCGAGAAGTCGTCACGGTTCAAGACGACAAGCAGGGAGGCATGAGGGAGTTCCCACTTTAGAGGGGTAAGGAGCACAGTTTGTGACTTGTGGGATGTGGAAGAAAGCTTTTGTCAAAAAAAAACTTCAGAAGAATACAGATGTTTATGACAAGCTTTCATGCAGCGTGAAGAGAAACACATGTACATGCTGCATCAGTACATCTCTGACCACTATCCTGAAGGCAGAACTTTTATATTCTTTGCCCAAAACACAAGTATGTCGGAGTAGATTTACATTGGCTTAATACTGTAGAAAGTTCCAATGTGAGTTAAGGTGTGACTCCTCACAGGGCTGTCCTGGGCTCTCTTAACAATAGAAGAAAAGGTTTCACTCACAGAGATAGTCAGGAAACAAAAAAAAAGCCAATATTTGGATAAGAAAGAAAACTATTAGGTAATAAATCTTCTTCTACACAGATTTTAACTAATGGTGGCGTGCTTTAACTCTTAGAAACAAGTTTAATTTCTCCCCCAATGCATCTGTATCATAGTTTTGTCATGTGTATCTTTTCTTTTTTAGAATCATTCAGCAGCTAGTGAATGGAATAATTGCACCTACTGCAATGCCAAATATTGGTGTTGGACCCTGGTAAGTCTATGGAGTTATATTTAACCAGTCAACAAATTATCAACAAAGTGCACTAGGAGTCTTCTAAAAGTTCTAATGTTCTATTCTTTTTTTTTTTTTAAAGGGGCGTTCTTCATTCAAATCCTATGGATTATGCCTGGGGTGCGAATGGACTAGATGCAATTATAACTCAGGTATTTTCAAGAAACCTTTTGAATGTTTTTAAACTGATTACTGGGCTTACTCAAAGCAACTAGATTGTATCTTTTGGACTAAACATTTCAGATGTTATAAGCAGTAAACACATATAAAGTGTATTTCTTTTAATTTGTTTTCTATTTCTTTTAAATCATCTTTAGTTATTAAACCAGTTTGAGAACACGGGACCTCCTCCTGCTGATAGGGATAAAATAAAAAGTCTTCCTACAGTACAAGTTACAGCGGAGCATGTTGGTAAGTAAAAACCTAATTGCTACTGATGTATCCAAATGTTTTAAATTGCTTTCTTTCTGATATCTTAGACTGTATTTGCACATTTGAACAGCAGTATAACTTTCTTTAAGACAGATGGTTGCGTGCTGTTATTAGATTTGCAGTGTCATTTCAAAGCCTAATTACCATTTTGCCAGACAAGCTCATCACCAGGCTTCAGTTTTGATCATATAAGAATGTTTAATTTGAAGCATCTCACCAGTTAATGACTGAAGTGAGCTCAAAGGCATGATTCTGTTAAACAGAGACAATGTCTTATCTGCCAATGTTATAATTATCCTAGTTACTTAACACACCCATCACATCAGGTTTTAGAGAGCTGCCTGGCTGTGCAACTGCCATTTTGCATAGCTTAAGGCAAGTCAAACCAGTAGCACAGCACCCAACCCTCTTAAATATTCCAGAGCTGGCAGGGCTTCACTGTGGCTGTTATTAGGGCAATGTTTTTTAAGTAACTCCATAATAATGATAATGTCACTATTGGTGAACCTTTTATCCATTTCTGTCTTTAAGCTTCAGGACTGGAATGTCCTGTGTGTAAAGAAGATTACAGTGTTGGAGAAAATGTGAGGCAGCTCCCATGCAATCACATGTTCCACAATGATTGCATAGTCCCCTGGCTGGAACAGGTATTACACAACACCTATTTAATGCTCTTCTCACTTAATATACACCATTGGCTATATGAAACTATGCGGTAACAATTACACTTTAAACAACTTCCTATTTTTACCACTCTTTCTCTCCAGCACGACACTTGTCCAGTGTGCAGGAAAAGCTTGAGTGGACAGAACACAGCAACAAACCCTCCAGAACTATCAGGGATGAACTTTACCTCCTCCTCTTCCTCCTCATCCTCTTCATCTTCCTCTACCCCTCAGTCCTCAAGTTCAACCAGCAATGAAAACTCCACCGATAACTCTTAGAGAACCCTTTGTCCTTATCACCTTATGAGCTGTTTATAGCTCCTAGGCCACTGTACTTCAAAGCGGTGACCTCCAGTCTCTCCCTGCTGAAGGGTAGAGACCTGAGTACATCTCACCAGGAGCACTCGAGCCTGATTCAGGGGTAAGTGATACGTGAGGTCCATGTATTTCTGCCCGTTCTGTTGCTCCCACCTTCATCAGGAATCTGAACAAAGGAAAGGGCGGAGGCCTGGAGTGCAGCTTCTGTCAGGGGGGATGTGGAGAAACACAGAAACTTCAAAAGGCTCGATCTGCCTGAATCACCTCATAAAGGAAGAGAACACAAAGGAATCCAAAGGTAGAAGACTCGGGAAAACAAGACAGTTGCTGTTCTTTTCTTTTTTTTTTAATCTCCAGACTTGTATGATTTAAAATGATCCACTTTTGCCAATGAAGCAAAAAGAAATGTACAGTTATTCCTTTTTATAAGTAGCATTCATATCTTGCAGATAGAATGACCCAAAGTGCACTGTAGTGCACTGTTTAAGTGTGCACTTAAGTTTCTTCATGGCTTGGAAAGATATTAGATTTGATTCGTTTAGTTCTCAAAACAAGATTACAACAGTTTATACAATTATTTTATTGTCAAGATCCACTTACAGTTTTAAGATGACCTGATATCACACAGGTACCATTGTTTGCACTTGAAATGATGCGTCAAATTGCAGTAATTTTGTGCTGTTTGGATAATGATGTGCATAATCATTACTAAATTACACATTATTATTTTGTCAGCAAGCCTATGATGTGATCAGCTTTTCACATTAAACACTTAGAAACATTTCAGTGCATTTGTGCATTTTAACTTAAAGGTAAATTAAATATTTTCTAAAGTTGCCAGTTGAAAAACTAATGATTTGCAGTATGATTGTGTCCAAAAGAAAAAAACCTGACATGAAAATAAAGATGGTTGAGTGCTACCACTCAAAGTTCATGTAAAGCATCCTCATTGTGTGTGTGTGTGTATGTGTGTATATGTAATATTCTCTGAAGGTCTAATCATGAGCAACAGGAGTCATAAGGGTAAAATTAAGCTTGTTTCACAAACTGACGGTAACTACAAACAAATATGTTTTAATTGTGTGTAAACAACCCCTGGGCAAGGTCTGTTTTCTTTTCCTGCACTTATTTTGTGGCATTGTGGTTAGACACTGGATAGGAGTGCAGAAACACAAGCAGGGAATGTTTAAATTTGTTTTCATTGGTACATCAATTAAGTTATCATTAAACAAAAACAAAAAAAAAGAGTCACTTGTTTGTCCTAAAACCAAATAAATAAGTATGGTAAACATTTTTTAGCAAACAGGGTAGTTCTGAGCTGTGCCAGTCTGAATTATTTGTCCCTTTAATGGTGTCTTGCAGGTTCTTAGAACAACCCTGCATCAACCAGGGAACAATAACATAATGACCGAGCACTGCTGGAAGTGCTTTCAATGCATAATACAATTTTGAGATTGTTTTGTTCTTTCACAGCAAGGCCTGGTATGCAGATCGTAAACAGTGTTCGTATTAAATCTTTCAGCAGGATGCTTGCCTGTTAAATGTTATCAATAAGCTAATAAATTCTACTTCCTTTTATTGTTTAGCCACATGGGTGTATTTCCTCTACATTGTACGTCTCTTGTCCTCTGGGATTTAGGTTCAAAGGCCTTTTAATCTGAGGGGATTGTTATGGACAGAACAGCTGTCTAGCTAAAAGACCAATGGATACACTTATTGCTATGAGTTTGACTTTACAATGTAAAATGACTGATTCATATTCACATTTTATTGTTACTCTGTATCTTTGTTGTCAATACTGCAAGTATTTGTGCCATTGTAACTACATACCTTGAAATATGGTTAGCTTTTCTAATATTTAGTGACTATAGATTCACTATATAGTTTAGATTTTGTGACTTTACACAAAATATCTTGAAAGAATTCAAATAGATTTTCAATATATTGGCAGCACTCTTTTCAACAAGGCACATCTGGATTTGGGGGGATTTTTCTCATACATTTACTCCGGGTTGTTTGAGTTGAATCTCTTGGTAGTAAACTGAAATTAATTCCACTGAATTTTAACAGAAGACTTCCAAGTTGTCTTTTCACTCTAAAACAAGTTGTCAGGAATTTGTCTTGTGTTGCTCTAGACGTCTCTGTTTTTACAACTGCGCCCACAGCAATATTTCCAGCATTACCACATTTTCTGCTAATATTTGAATTGTGTCATCTGTCCTTCTGTGCCTTTTTGCAAACTCTAGCAATGATCCATATGGTCGCTGCAGCACACTGTAGATTGTTTTTGAAATGGGGAGCTAAATGGATTTCTTCCAAGGAGCAGAATGTTACAGACATTTTCTTACACTTATAGCAGTTTTTGCTCCAAGATACATCTAGGTGATTTACGTTTCTAAAATGAAACGTGATTGAAAATGAAACACTTTTTTTGAGACTTTAATATCGTTTGAAATAACTTCATGGCCTGGCAAAAGCGAGAGTCATTCAGTTTTTCATGAAATATATTATCTTGACTCATATGCTTGGCCAAATTACACACGACTATTATCATTAAACGAGCTTAAATGGCTTCAAGTGAAGACCAACGCTTACTCATTTTACGTGACCACGCCCCTAAACAAGACGTCATGTGTACGTGCTGATCAGGGCGTGTGCGTGAAGTGCAACTAGAGGACGACCAACTACATCGGCTCCACTGAGGAACAGACAGCCGCTCACATCTAGCTGGAAGTCCACCAGAAAAAGGAGGAAGAAGATTCAGCACGTCGTCGTTAACGTCGCGTTTATTCGACGATTTAGTAAACATTATCTAAATTATTAGCCATGAAGTTATTGTGGGCTGTCAGTGCCCTTCTGTTGATCTGTTGGGGAGCCAATGCGTCCACAGGTAAGAATTTTGTGTCAGCCATGTTGGTTGAAGATGTAGACTTTGCCCTGATTGCGAACATTAAAAATGTTCCTGTTCTTGGTTTGTTGACGGAACGACAGTTATTGTTTTACATGTGGTATATCTTTGTGAAGGTGGCATTAATACAAAACCAACCACCATATCCGGCGTTGGTGAGAAACGCTCTCATATTAGCGGCAGCTGTATTAGGCGTACTGTTGTTGCTAGCGACACATTAAGCTAATTTCCAATCGCAGAATCCTTTCAGACGATTAACCGAGCGTTTCGTGACTAAACAACATTGGCGTTTAATGTATTTGTCTAATCCTGTCCTCGTTCAGTGTTTTATGTTAGGCGCTAAACGTCAGCAAATGTAATGGGTCACGTGAGCTCCACACTATTGATCTGGTAGCAGATCACAGCAGTCACACTGCCCGCGTGCAGCGACGCTTCACCGGAGAGTCTCGCCTATTTTTTCCGCGAGCGGTTCCCATTAAAAATAGACATTGTAAAAGGTCCCTATCGACAATATACCAGCAACATTTACACCTTTAACTACAGTTGTAATGTCTATATCTGTAGAATGTTTCACAGACGTGGTAAAAAAAAAAAAAAAAAACACCTCCTGCTTCTGTTTGAGGTTAAAAGCTCTTTTCTGTGGACAGAATCCATTCATGTATGAAAAGGCTTTTATTGTATGGTGTTTATTAAAGGCAAGCTGGGCAGTGGTCGTGTGGTGGCTCAGTAACGTTTGCCGTTGTAATGTGAACTGTCGGCTTCACTGACCTAGGCCTTGTTTTCCAACGAATAGCCCTTTGGTAATTAAGTCTTTCATCACATCCTTTAGAAACAGGAGCCCCGGCTCGTAACGTAAGCGATAGTTGGTGTTGCTTGTTCTGAATAAACGGTCATTAGTTGTCTTTGATTCAGTGCGCCAGTAGGCCCAGTCCACGTGATGTGCATTAGCTGTCACGATACAGTATTTTAAAGGGCTATTATTGGTGCTCATTAAGTGTCCTGCCTATACTTGTGCTTCCCATCAGCTGATCGACTCTGGTCATTGACCAGCGATAAAGACATGCGTTTTATTAATACACAGCTCTTTGCTCGGCTACCAAAGATCATTATTAATTATCTGTAGGGTGTGTCAACATTGGATTGACAGCTTTTATGGCAAATAACATCCAAAGGGACAGGCATTTCTAAAGTGGGAGTAGTATTGGAGACACTGAATTTTACACTTATTTTAGTAATAAACATTTCATCACTGTTTTTAGTTTTATGGCAAAGCTACCGTACAGTTATCGTCTTAACCAAATAAAAATGACCGCCCCAATGAGCTTATAAGTCTTAATAGATTGATAGTCCACACATTATACAAAATATACACGCGGGGGGCTGGTTCAGTTGTCAATTTACTTAAGCATGTCAGGATTTTAATGTTTTCTTATGACATTAGTACTTATTAAAAATGGGATAATGTATAATAATTTGAGCTTTCTTTTTAAAAATAGAAGAGTTACTAACAGTCATTTAAGTACATACAAAAAAAAACAAACTGAGTCATTTTCCACTGGGTATTTCATCATCCTAATGCAGTTAAGAGAAATGGGCAAGTACATTACATTGACTGATATAATATGCTGTAAAACTTTGGTCTGAAGTCAAATGAACCAGTTGAGACATTCAGTGTTTCCTGCTTTGGTAATGGCAGCTCTGGAGTAGATGAGAAGTAAAATTAGATTTCCCTAGAGTTTCAGCTCCTTCTCTAGCTTTACTTTATCATGAAAAGTGGGTTACGAAGCCGACATGTAGGTAAGGCTACTTTTGTGTGTGTGGGGGGGGGGAGCAGGCAAGCGTTTGTTTTGTTTTTTTTCACACCTGAAGTGCTTGATGTTTAATCCCAGCACTTTGGTAAATAGTGTTTTGACCTCCATCTTTACACTCCAGCTGCTTAACGTGCTCTCACTTAAATGATCATTTTAGGATAGAAGCCTCCAGTCGAAGCACAGACAGTGACAGGTTGTTGTTTTTTATAGTGGTGACCAATCTGTGCTGGTCCACTAGGGCTGAATGATTACATTGGACAAAGTGGGCTACTTGATTAGTGCCCTCCAGATGTACAGAATACAACAAGATCAGGTCACATCCAATGGATTTATGTTGGCTGAAAGTGACATGTATTTGTCCCCTCATCAGAAGGTGTTAATTTCAACAGTAATCTGGGTCAGATAGAACAAGGCTGAAATGGAAGCTTGAAATGGCCACTTTAAACAATGTATTATTTATTATTTATCATTATAACTTATTATTTTCATGAGTGTCACTGCTTTTTTCATGATGGAACCATTGGTATTCATCTTTTATTGGAAAAGACGTTGCACTGTACTAGTTTTTCCTGTTCAGTGTGAAAATTTCAATATACTTTGTTACACAAGTGTTGAAATTGGCCTCCGGGTGACATGTTTTAATCTTTGTTGTACCCTTTGTGTTTTTCAAAAGCTGAGTAAATTTACACTTGAGTTGTTAATTTTCAACCGACTGGTTCAATGAAAAATGAACTTCCAATGAAGATAAAGCATGTGTCCCTATAGCTTGGGTTTATTTTCCCCACTCTGCTTTTTTGTGCTTAACAAATATCATGCTAACTTTGCATCACATGAAATCCTAATCTTCTTTTCCTTTATGTAAAAATGATAGATTTCCAGGCTTTTTTGGTACATTGTTCAGGCCATTTAGCTTGTTGTTGACCATATGTAAACACAGAATATCAACTATAGAATTTGTTCTCTAAAAGGGCTCTAAACTCATGGAGCTGGTTCTCAAAGTACAGAGCAGAGGCCTATAGGCAGCCAGTTGCCGCGTCAAGCTGGTTTACATCTAATCATTGTTGGGACTGGGGCCGAGACTATATTTAATTTTGAACTTTCCTGCAGCATGTTGGGAAGGTGACCTTTGGAAGCCACTAAGCAAGAAAAGTTACATGATCTACGCGTGGAGACCGGGGCTCTTGTCAATTTCACAAGTCTGCCTGTTTTGTCATTAATTCATATTTGCTGACAGTTTTGAAAATTGAGTTTTAAATAAAGTCTACTTTTATATAGAATATTAACTCAGTTTTCATTTGAGCTGCTGTTTTCCTCATTGGGACCCACCCCTGGTTTGTTCTGCTTTCTTAGTCTATGATTTTCCCGAGAGGAGGAGAACAATCTTGCTGTGCTTTGGGCGGTAGTGTAAGAATGTTAGTCTTTCCTGGACGCACCTACATTTCCCCCGCCCGACCACCACTGAGTGGCCAAACAAACCCACCATGCCTGGTATGAATGTGGAGCACCGTGATTCTGGGGAGGACTAAAATATTGAAAACAAGTATTTTTAGTGTTATTCCCCTGTGAGTGCATCGATGGCAGATGCTGAATATTTGCATTTGCCACTCAGTGGGGATTGAGCGTGTTGACTTCCGTTTACTTTGAGGTCATGTGCATAGCCTACATTATATCATCGGCAGAATATTCAGAAAAATAGGCTACGTGTTAGCCTAGTTTAACACGCTAACCACTGTTGGGTGACACGAGGCGCTGCAGAGAGTGCACCAGCCCAAAATGCTTCATGCATGTCCTGGAGCTTTCATGGATTTTTAAATATAATTTTATCATGTGAAATGTTTTTAATTTCAACCTCATCGGCTTTTCTCTTCATGTTCTGTTTCATTCATTGCACATTGTTTTTCATGGGAATGCTATTAGATGCTTTTATGGTTTTGTTGTTGTTTTTTTGTTTTGTTTGTTTTGCTATTGCTGACTTTAGGGATGTCTTGATCCAAACCAACATTTATTGTTGAGTAATTGCTAATACTAAGCCTTTTTAAAGGCATTAAATAGAACAAAAACACTTAATTTTGTTTAAATTTAAATTGACATTAAAGTCCACTGATAACAGATTCATCGCAGAGATGATCACCCAAACCTAGTAGTATACTTTCATTGATATAAATGGGGTAGAAAAATATTTTATTTTAAAAACAGTTTGAACAGTGAATGAAACATTAGGACTTTCACGTAGGTAGGATTTATTCCAATGCAGCAGAAGTCAAATGGTTTAAGCTTGATGCACATACTAAATTGGAAACTGAGAGTATAACTCAGTGCTGTGCTCTCAAATCAGCTCGGGTCATCCCTAATTGCCTTTATGTTGCCTTTTTTATGTTCATCTTAATGGGTCAGAGTACCATGAATTAATTTACCCAAATAATTGGGCAAACATGTTGCTCTGATCTATGCCTTTTCTATATGCTTACTTTCATATTTTCCATTTCATTTGTGTTTTATTAACTTTGTGTCTTTTTCTTTTCTTTTTCCAATTTGCTTGTCTTTCTTCCATCACTGCCTTTTTATCATCCATGAAATCACATGGCTTGCTTTAAACCCACCACATTTTAAATTTCTTACAATCTCTGTTTGCTGGGCTGACTGTATACGGTGCTCAGCGGGTTTTATCAAGTCTCCCCTGTCTCAGATGAAGCTGTTCAATGACAGCGCAGAGCTGCATTGCGAGGTGATCGGGTACCCCATCCCAGAGGTGCAGTGGTGGTTCATAGAGGGTGAAGAGCCCAATGAGACCTTCACCCAGCTCTTTGACGGGGCACGGGATGAACGTGTGCAAATAAATGCCACATATATAGCACATGCCACTAGCACCATTCACCTCACTAGCCTCACCTTCGACGACTCGGGCACGTACGAGTGCCGCGCTTCCAACGACCCTGACCGCAATGAACTGAAGAAGACGCCAAAAATCAAGTGGATCCGCTCGCAGGCAAACATTATTGTGATCGAAAGTGAGTGGCAGCGGAAGCATGAGGAGAAGTAGCTTGGCTGTTATCTCCTCATTAGTGAAGTCCTGGACATCCAACTCCTGTCACTCTCAACTCCCATGCTTACCGGTCCAGTACCCTCTCCATCCTGCTTCACCCAGTATACACTCTCCCTCTCCTCTTCCTGAAAGCTCCCCGGTTGTCCTGTAGTAGAACACGAAACCTGGTCATTAAGCGTGGCCGGGCCGCTCCCTAATCCTGTATTACCTGACACACAACACGTCTTCAGTCTGATGCCTTTTTTTCCCCCATGTTTCAACGCTTAGGTACCATTATGGTAGGTTTCTTGTATATAATACTGGTCATAAGGTTGAAAACTTGCAAATGGCTCCTGCAAAAATTATGACTAATGATTTTGAGATAAACAAAAAAGGGGTGTCAGATTACTTGATTAGTATTGCTTCTTGGTAGATATTTATTTTGCTAGCAATTTCCTAGCATTTCCTTAATTGATACTAACATTGGCATTGCCCCTTTTGTTTATGCTTCTAGACCGCTACTGAATGGTAGGCACAGAAGATGGCAACTGGTTATTAAAAATAGATTCTCAGCCATGGGGCATCTTTCTGCCTTGTGGTCCAGTATTATTATTTGTGGACAAATTGGTCAGTTTCTTCAAATGAAGCAAAAATACTTAAATTTGACTTTTTATCATGTAATTGGCATTGGAAAAGCCAGTGATTTTTCATCCCCTTGTTGCTTCTTCTGCATGTGTATATATGAAGAGAGATTTTCCCCATGACCTTGTTGTAGACTATTTACTAGATTTCCAGTACAACTCCTATTCTCCCCTCCATTCTACTGTTGGTGGGACAGATCTCCCCATTTTGGGGAGCTCTTTCCACCTTTCTTGGAAACATCAGTGCATTTGTTCAGAACTTGTACGTTTGTCACAATGTTTTCTTGGTTTAACTTGTGAAAATTGATTTGTTCTCCTGGGTAAGTTGCGAAGGACTTAGTTAGTAATTCTTTTTTTATTTCTGCTTGACCACTTAAAGGACCAGTGTGTAGGATTCAGTGGCATCTAGCAGTGAAGTTGCAGCCAGTTTAATACAGCTCAGCCTTCCAAGCATGTACAAGAAACCTAGTAAAAAATGCAAAAAGGCCTTATCTAGAGCCAGTATTTGGTTTATCCGTTCTCGCCTCTGTGGAAGAGGACTTGTTTCCTCTGTAGAAAAATGGCTCATGCTAAGAGAACACAATTCTTATTTTTGGCTGATTATACACTAATGAAAACATGCCTATGGATATTATATTTAATTTCTGCCAGTAGATCATTCGAAATGTTACACACTGGACCTTTTTAACACTCAACAAGAAAAATGACATGCTGTATCAATTCATATTTACACTTTTGGGACAGTAAAAAGAATAACTCATTGTTGACCTCTTCCACCACTTTTTTAAATTTCTTTACTTAACAGTGAGTGTGAGCGTGAGGCTATCATGTACCTGCTGTGCCCTAATATGACATTTTGGACCAAATTATTTCTGTCTGAGTGTCGAAAGATCAAATGTCAATTAAACTAGAGCTTGAAAATTTTTGAATACATTTTAAGGCAATAACATCATGTCATTAATGAAGTATAAGAGTCTTTAAGATGCTATTTAAACACAACAAGCTGAAATTTGACATTTTAGAAAAGGATTATAAATAATTAATTTTTCCTCTGTTTATTTTAAGCCCCAAACATCATTACCGAACCTGTTGAGGTCAGCAACCAGACCTCTGCCACCCTGCGCTGCAACTTGACAGAGTCCAGTCTTTCCAGCAAGGGCTCCCACTGGATGCACAATGGAAAACTCATTGAAGCTTCCAAATCTTCTGATCCTTCTTTATCCACTGAACTCCAGTAAGTAGCTACTTCCACCTAAGTGTGTCATATGGGCAGATCTGCTTTGCAGTTACTATCGCACAATAAAGATCTCTGATAGTAATATATAAATGTACTTTGTCTTAAATTTGTGTTTATGTGCTGTTTCTCACTAACTCTAAAACAGAAGGCCCATTTCTGTTTTGTAAAGACGTGCAATTTACTGGTTAGCAGTAAGTGAATGAGCCGTACAAGAAAATGGCGGGCCCATTTGGCTTTAATAATTTTACTGACATGGAATGTCTTGCTGTAGTCTTTATTTCTTCCCTTTTTTACTCTGATTCGTATACTGTTTCTTTTTTGCTTTGTTACTACAGTCAATAGCCATCTCTATGTATTCTCCCTCTGACTTTGCCTTTTGCCTATCGGTCATCCCTCCCCCTCTCACCATCCTCCCTTCCTCCCTGGCTGCCTCCATTAGCAGCCTAGCAAAGAGCGCCATTCAGGCATTCACTGCTCTTGCTCAGCAGAGAGCTGGACCGTGCAGTCGTGCAGCTTTGCCGGTAGTCTTGGCAGCAGGGATAAGCGCCCATAGCTGTGTGCTCACTCGCCCTGACCTTAATTCCCCATTAGAGAGAGCGAGCAGGACTGTATGGGACAGCAGCACCAAACAAAAGTGGATTGTGTTTACCAGAGGAAATTTGAAATATTTGTTGCATGGACAAGCAGCTTTATTTTTACCCCCAGCTCTTGTGCATAAACAGTGTTATAGTGTGAATTTTCTACTTAGTTAAGTAGGAAACGAACAACTGTCATTAATGTGGTTTTAGTACAATTGGTTAGAAGTTATATATTAGGTCTGCAGAGAAAAATACTCCTACATTTCTATTAATTAAAAGTGTTGCAAGGTGTTCTCAAATCATTTATTTTTTTTCTTTTCATAGTTTGGAGAAGATCACCCACAGTTCTGGTGGAAAGTATGAATGTGTGTTCCTGACTGAGCCAGAGGTGAAGCAGACAATTGAAGTCAAAAGTAAGTTAGTTAATGAGTATCACAGATCCAAGTTCCTTTCATTGAAGAACTGACAATTAAAGGAAGCCATTTTCCAGAAAAGCATCATGTTTTATTCAAATAATGTTTTCATTAACAATGGAAGTACTGTTAATATTTCATAAGGTGACGCTTTGCTTGTGTTGGTGGTCCAAGGTATTACTGACAAATTAAAGGACCAGTTTGCACAAAAACATTTTAACAAAAAAATGTTGGTTAGTGTAGAGACATTTGTAATTGAATATCTGTAATATTGGAGCTTTGCTGTAAAATACTTGGTATATATGAGCGCCAGTCTCATCTGATGTTTTTTGTCTCTGCTGTTGTGCAATTCACCATTAAGTGACAACTGAAAACTGCATGTCACCTGCACATGCAGCAGATAATAGAATAATCACGAGGGTGACAGTTTGATAATGAATGTAAAATTTTAAATCAGTGTTCAACATCACAGAAGTTCTAAACTGAAATAACTGTGAATTGATCATGATAATTAAATAAATGTAATATTATGAAGGTAGCTCTGGAAACATTCCAATCAGTTCTTGGTTTCGTAATCTTATTTGAAGATGCCTCTTGCTCTGGGATAAACAATTAAAGGCAGATCAGTTCATCAGTTCACCAACTTTCATATTCTAATTTGAATATGTGTTTCTCTTCCTGCTGTAGCACTTCCCCATGTTGCTGCCTACAAGCACTCTGAGCATGGCAATGAGAAGGACAAAGGTGTGATGGTCTGTGTGAGTCATGGCTATCCACTGCCCACTGACTGGACCTGGTTCAAAGAGGGAATCGACGGGGTATGTAGCTTGTTATTTTTATTATTTTAAAATGATTCATGATATGTTTTTGATCTACAGTTCTAAACCAGAGGACATGAACCTAAAATTTCTGTCACCTTCATTTTTGTGGTGGTTTTCCAAGTTGCAAATAATGTGATATAATGTTGAATGGTTGAACCTGTCTCCCTGTTTATGTCACTAACTTGTTTAAACATAACCCTCAGCCTATCACCAACGGCACTTCCGATAAATATGAGATCAAGAGCACCCCTAACAAGACCACACTGACGATTAATGACCTGAGCATCGAACAAGACATCGGGGACTACACCTGCTCTGGGACCAATGAACTCGGCACAGCCACCGACAAGATCCACCTGCGTGTCCGCAGTCGCTTGGCTGCTCTCTGGCCATTCCTCGGCATTGTGGCCGAGGTCATCATCCTGGTGACCATCATCTTCATCTACGAGAAGAGGAGAAAGCCTGATGAGATCAACGACGGTACGTAGGCCACGCTGCCTCCACCACTATACATTACATCAACTTGTATATTAGCACTGAGTGATGAAACACTGCCTTCTCATCCATTTCAATGAGACCACTATGTTGACACATGTAAGGTCACACTCCTCTTGTAGTACTTGTAAAATATCGTGTCATCGTACTATAAAGTGCTGTTGATGCTAGTACTGGGCCTTTTACATTGTATGTAATCTTCATGCGAGACCTGAAGCACGCTGCCACTAGTGCTGTGCTGTTTTGGTCTGAACAGCCAATTAGAGCTGAGACTTTTATTTGTCAATTGGCCATTTTGAGTTGGAGAAAACCCTCATATCATGAATAGGTGGCTATCAAAGCAGCTGTGAAAGTATCCAGCAAAGTAAATTGTCTTTTTGAGGGTAGATATGGCCACGCAACTTGTCATTCCTCTGTCGTAATGAGGAGACAAACACATTGAACACTAGGCCTTGTTTACTCAACTGTGAGTTAAGACCATTTAGTGCCCCCCAGTGGCAAGATGGAGATTATTAAGGAAAAGCTTTGCTCTTTAGCTGGGGATTTGTCGATTTGTAGTTGCATGCATTCAATATGAACTCTTATTGTCTTTGATTTTGCTATTTACAGTTTAAAAATAAAAATCAGGTATTAGCTTCCGCCTTTGTATAAAAAATCTGTGATAGAAACTATTATTTTTATTATTTACATTTTTACTTCTCTGTTCGCTGCTGATTTTGCATTTTGGTAAGTGAACAAAACTGCATGTCAGACTGAAGTGGTTGAGCTGAGGTGACCGCGTGGACAAGGCTATGGGAGTCTGAATGAACTGCTTTCATAGTCGCCACTTCTAAGAGGAATGTGCTCAAAGATTTGGTCACTCTTTCACTGGCCCTACAAACAAAGCAAGCTTTAAAATAATTTCTTGCCATTTCATTTATTGGCCTCTTTCTTTAAAAAAAATCCCTTGGTTTGAGCCAATGAAAGAGTCAAATGAGAGTCACGCGTAAGCTAGTGTAATGGTTTGACATGAAATTGGACAGGTTAAAAAAAGTGAGAGGTTTCAGCATTCTGTCTGCATGCCTTCTGCATCTTGTACTTTATGCATGATAAATGATAGGCAACCCTCTTCTGAAGATCACTACATCATTTACATTTGTCTCATTCACCATTTGGCCACAGAGATGGGGCCTACTTTTGCCTTACCTTGTCAATATGTTCTCTTGCTCTGGTGTGAATACTGCCACTATACATGCTAGGATGTGTGTTAGCTAGCCAGTTTCAAGATGTTTCTTGTTTTTATCTTGGTACAGCCACTGCAGTGTTCCTTTGGTGTCCTTTTGCTTGTATTGCATGAGCCTCTGTGGTGCTAGAGGGGTGACTCTGGACAATGTTTTAAAAAAGATAAATGGCAATTTCCAAATCTTATGACAGATTGAGACATATAGTAGTTTTATTAAGTGACATTTAGTACCTTGTCTTTTATAAAACACAGTTATGTGTGGAATTGCTCATATAAATAATTGATTAAGGATTTTGTTGTATCATTCATGGTCAGAAATGCAACAGGCAGGCATGCCTCAGGTCAAGTTAGATTAGATCATAACCTCATTGGAATCATGTTGCAGAGGATGTCAATGTTCTAACACTTGCTACCGTCATCTGTGGGTGGACGGGTGGACGGGGGGTGGGGCATGTATTGCTGGGCACTGATCAAAGACATGTATCATGCTATCGACTGACTCTTCTTCTTGTTTGCCTTCCCCTCATTGATCGTTTACTGCTGTCCAGATGACGACTCAGGATCTGCTCCTCTGTAAGTACAGTCAGCAGCTCAGTACCTTGCTTGTCAATACAAAAAAATATATATATATTTTTTACAGAACTCATGTTTTTCTCTATGATGTGTTTTTCAGGAAGAGCAATTCTAATGCGAATCACAAAGACAAGAATGTGAGGCAAAGGAATTCTAATTAGAGGCTGAAGGAGGTGCGTATATACATATCGATGGGGGATGAAGTTCTTCTTTTGAACTGGAAAAAAACTGTTTTAATTCTGTACTCAGTATCTGCATGTTTAACAATGCCCTTGAACAAAAGAAACAATAAAACAAATGTACAATCTGAATATAAGGCTGAAGATAATTCTTCACTCATGCAACTTTTTCTTTTTCCTAGATGGACATCCAGAAGGCAGTCCAGGATTCAGCTGTTGTGTTGCACATTATACTGTGCACCCTGCAAACTGCAATTTGAAGTACCTTTTTTGTGCTTGGGTGTTAATGTTTTAAAAAATTGGACGGATTTCCTCTTGTTGTGTTTTCTTCTCTCTATTCTTCTCCACATTGTGCAGCCAGAGAAGTGCCCGCCGGGGACAATTATTAAATTGAAGAGAACATAGTGTGAAATAATTTTCTGCTTGAGGCCTCGGGGCAAATATTGCATGAGTTTAAATGCCGTTTTAGAAAAAGTGTGTGTTCGTTGTAAAATCATTAGAAAGTCCATGTGAGGAATGCTTAGTTTGTGGTTATTTTTTGTTAATGCTGATGCTTCCTACACTGACCTCACGTTGTCAGTCGTTTTTCTTTTATATCCTCCACTCTGGAATGGTTACTTGGAAAGCAGCACAAGTTGGGTTTTTTAAGAGGATCTGAAACCTTTTTTGATCCTGCTACATCACTGCCATTCTTTATAGCAACGACTGGAGTGTGTTTGAATTCACGCATTTGATCTGTCCCTACACTACCACAAACCTCTCATAGCAGAGTTTTATACTTTGCCTTAACAAGCACCATTTTCTCTTTCTTGTCTTTTTTGCATTTTGTTACCTGTTACAAGCTTTAACTGTGACATGTAAATTTAAATGCAGAAATGACTTAAAATTCAATTGTTTTATAGGTTTTGTTGCCGTAAGAAATTACTCTTCTTTTAGTTAGGAAAGCTTTTCGTCCCTTTTTTTTTTTTTTTTTTAAATCATGCTTGTATTTCCTTTTTTCTCCACTTATTTTAAATTGAAAGTTTTAGTCACTGATGTTTTTGTTGCTGATCATGTCACATCCACATAAAGATATATTATTGAGGACCAAGTGCAAGAAATGGAACATCTGTTGCTTCTGTTGAATGCGACTTACATACCATGCACTGATGTTTCAGTCTAATATAACAGATCAACGTTTTAATAAGAGATTTTCTTTCTCACTCAATGTGATCTGAGATAAAAAAAAAGTTTGTGCGCGATTGGTGGACCGTCGTCTGTTTCCTTCACTGTGTAGATGATTCAGAAGCCTTATGTTCCATTTAACCTGAGTAGTGTTGTGATTGGATGTTACCATTTCAGAATTACACGAATAAAAAGACCTAGCCAGAATTGTGTAAACTGTTGTACCTTACAAGTACGTGGAACACCATCTGCTGTACAACTTGGCACAAACTGAATAAAGGTTTTGGATTTTACATGTCTGTTTACTCAACTTTTTTTTAAACAAATGATATAAGGGTGGCATAGCAAGGCTTCCTCACCTAATGTTTTAACTCTTTCATCTCTGGGGTGGAGGTGCATTGGCCTAGCATGGTCACGGCTGCTTGGCCTATATAGTGGCACAGAAGATCATAATCATTATTTGTTTGAGAGTTTTTGTTTGCAGGTCACTAATTCCTACAGTCTGTCAAGGTATAACTTACAAAAACAGTTAATACAAGTTTAAACAATGTTGACTTCATGAGGATCTGAGGTTCAGTGGCTTTATTTCTATAGACTATTGCATGTCATACCTTTTTACTTGTTATCATGTTACGTGCAAAACAAATCTGATTGAAAGCTTTAGTTTTGAGAATCTTAAGAACTCCGCTGCGGCTGTGTCCAGTGGGGAAGTTTTAGTCCTACACAAAAAGCACTTGGACAACAAAACTGGAATTTCTGGGTAAAGTTTCAGACATGTCTTTACACTTTTTACCAAAATGCTTTTTTGTTGACTTTACCTTGCATTAAATTCCTGTTTCACACCCATGATGCTCCATAAAAGCTAATAAAAAACGTTGTTTGTGACCCTCTTTTAACAACAGAGCTGTGGATATTTCTGATTACCATGCCTGCTTCCTTACTGTAAAAAAATGTATACTTCAAAATTAAATTTATCTTTGTTTTTGAAAGCCTAAATTGGAATGTCTCAAAATGCAATGAGAAGCTGCAGCAGGATAAAGTTTCTAAAAAAGACTGTAAATTATGGTAAACGTTTTTAATAAGGACAAAAACACAAGTGAATGCATCTTCTGAGGGGCTTAGGATCCAGACCTTGGAGCCACAGAAGGAACAGGCTGTGTCCAGTGCATGGTGCCTCTGAGTGCTTAAAAAGGTATAGTGGCTCAGGAAGCTTGAGTGTGCAATGTGTATCCTTTTCCACCAGGTGGAGCCATTTAACCGAGAATGACGGAGCCACGTTCAGCTTAAAGCAACAGGCAGACGCTGTTGTTCAAGTCTCTTAAATCCAGTCCAGAACAGATCGAGTATTAGAATTACTATGGATCACCTGACCACAGCAGTACACTGGCTGATTTCACCTGAGATCAAGAGTGGATGACAAAAGATGGAGAACTTGTGTTTTTTTTGGTAGCCTAACCTTCATCTGTCACCTTTGTCCTGAGGATGTTCCTGCCTCCTGTCAGGTGAGTTTACACATGTATATCTATGTGTTTATATATGAGCTAATAGTTTTCTTTCTAGTCACACTGCTGGGTTACAGGGCGTGTCCTGTTCTTATCAAAATGATTTTGTTCACATAGTTTTTTCCCCAATATAAGCTACCTGTGGGTGGTTGCAGCTCAGAGATAATGCTCTCTCTCTCTCTCTCTCTCTCTCTCTCTCTCTCTCTCTCTCTCTCTCTCTCTAACACACACACACACAAACACAAACAAGTGCCAGGTTGCATCCATAGCAACGCCACCGGTGCGCTGTTATCCTTAAAGTGGCGTGTGGATGAAAAGCAGAGGGCTCTTGCTGCTTTGAACTCCACACTCCTTCCTCCGCCGCCGCCCAGTCTCGCCAGGTTCAAGGTAACGGGAGTGTCTGTCTTTGTCTCCTGCCTTTGCCCGTGATGGAGGAGGCGGAGGACGGCGACGAGGAGCCCAAATTCCAGCAGGCTCGACCACCTCAAGTAGCCAGCTTGGCCAGACGCGAGGATCATGGGAGCAGCGGAGGAACCAGGACGAAGAAATTGACGCCAGGAGGCGGAGCCGCGTCCATTGCGCGCACAAACTCCAACAACAATGAGCTGTGGCTCCTGAGAGGCGAGGACTCCGCACCTGTCAGTGCCTGTGGCAGCACCGCCTCTGCTCTGTTATGCCAGAGGGATGCTGCCGGCGGCTCAGAGTCAGAACCCAGAGGTGGAAGGGACACGGTGTCAGAGGCGGGCGTGATAGGAGCGGGGGCCATCGGTATGATATGCAACAAAAACGGAGACTGTAGAAGGGACCCGACCAGTTCAGGGAGCCTCTCCTCTCTCATCTCAAGGCAGGAGAAGCAGACAGATGGAGTAGCAGCAGCAGCAGCAGCAGCAGCAGCAGCAGCAGCAAGTGAAGGCGGCAAGGCTGCAGTCATGGATGATTCTATCACTTCAGCGGGGTCCCTGACACAGGGGCCCGGGGCCGAGGACAAGAACGCGGCAGCGATGGAGAAAAAGGACTCCAGAGTTTCCTTCTCCAATGCACCGACTAGTAAAGGACAGACCTCGGGTCAGCAGTCGAGAAACTCTGTCACATTCTCTAAAGCTGAGGATGGCTCTCAGATAGTGCCGGACGATGGAGACTCCAGGGGGAATCAGACTTACATGCAGCGGCAGTTTAGTTCCATGCTTCAGCCCGGAGTTAACAAATTCTCCCTGCGCATGTTTGGCAGCCAGAAGGCGGTGGAGAAAGAACAAGAGCGCGTAAAGTCCGCGGGTAATTGGATTATTCACCCATACAGCGACTTCAGGTATGGGTCACTTGAGTTAAGTTCATAAACACTATTTAAGCTGCAGCCAAGATGGAAAGGAAATAAAAATAACAACATAAATAAATCCAAATGATGTTAGATATTTAGGCTTGTATTCTTATTGTGCTTAGAAAGGGATAATTTGATCCATTATGAAGACTGAGAGTCATTTATTGATGCTATTATAAAGGATGTAAGTTCTCACAGATGCCAAATAGGTTTAACTTTTCCAAATATGATGAAATACTCTGAGCAGTGCAGGCCTCAAGAAGACAGTCACCTTGTTTTAAGATGATCATATATAATATCCCCCATTTTGTGACAGATAAAGACATGTTTTTTTGTATTTGCTCAGAGGAATACTGATTTTAACACTGCACTGTAGACCATCTGGTTAACTAATACATCTGGGTCTCTGGACAATTCTTGTTTACACTGGCCAAATATTTGAATAACTGTTGTATGACGTGTGTATTCATGACAAGCAAGTGCCCTCAAAAAGGTTTGGTTTCAGTGAGTTTTATCCTAAAGATGTACTTTAAAGTTAAAGTAAACTTAAAAGTTTCGTCGTTAAGTTGGAATGTGTCTAAACATCTGTCTCAGCACCAAGGACAGCTCCTCCAGTTACCTCAGTGGTAAAACAGCTGCATTCTGAAGATACATGCAGCTATAACTGACTTGCACTCGGAGGATACTATTTGTGGTTTTATGGGGTGTGTCAAGGAATATTTAAAACTGAACAATTTCCTGAAACAGAGGATTCAAGTCATGACTCAGCAATACTCCTTAATCAGCCCTTTGCTTTGCAGGCTCCCACTTACTTTCCGCTGATGAGACAGCATTGTAACAAAAGCCATCTGATCAACCATGATAGTGGTATGAAAAACATACAGGACTGCATTTAAGGAGTATTGTTATTATTCATTAATGTGCCAATTATTTTCTCGATTATTCATTTTGTCTATAAAATGTCAAAAATAGTGAAAAATAGCAATTTTGTGTCTTTGTCTTTAAATGTCATATTTAGGAAGAGCAGCAAATCCTCACATTGGAAAAACTGAAATTAGATTAACTTATTATTATTTGGAATTCTTGCTTGAAAATTGTTTAATTGATTATCAAAATAGTTGCTAATTAATCGTCTGTTAATCAGCTTTTAAAATGCTTAAAATTCTAAGCTGAGGGTTGTTTTGGACAAACAAAAAACGTAAACAACTACAAATCAGATATGGAACACAGAACTGTAGCTTTGGCATCGTCTTTCTGTGGCTTTACAGTCTGTTGTTCTTTGATTTGGACTGAATTGCATCCAGCTTATCTTTCCTGTAATATTCCCGTGTCTCTGCTTGTCCTTGCTTTGACCTTGTCTCCAGTCAGATGGTATAGGTTACCTCACCGGGAGAAGATACAGTGCACTCAGTGAAAGTGCGTTTCATAAAAGATAAGCCATTTGTAGCTGTGTTCACGGGTGGCGCTGTTGTCTGAGTGTTTGTGTGCGTGTGTGTGTGGCCCCCGAGAGAGCTCTGCTTCATAAAAAAAAAAAAAAAAAATCAGTTGTCGTAGATCAAATAGCATCAGCATATTTGCTGTCATGTGATATGCATAGCAAATAACAACAATGTGAGTATTCAGTATTCCAGGCTGGGTTCATACACACTGAACAGGCTCAGATTTAGCACTTTTCTGTATACGTGTCACGTGTTGATTCCCCTCATATTTCAGAGCAGTTCAGCAAATTTTTTGTTTCTCCCAACTGTTTTACCCTGTCAGGTTCTACTGGGACTTCACCATGCTGATGTTCATGGTGGGAAACCTGATCATCATCCCTGTGGGCATCACCTTCTTCAAGGACGAGACCACCACACCCTGGATCATCTTCAACGTGGTTTCTGACACCTTCTTCCTCATGGACCTGGTGCTGAACTTCAGGACCGGCATAGTGTTCGAGGACAACACAGAGATCATCCTCGACCCCGAGAAGATTAAGAGGAAGTACCTGAAGTCCTGGTTTGTGGTGGACTTTGTCTCCTCCATACCCGTGGATTATATCTTCCTCATCGTGGAGAAAGGGATCGACTCTGAGGTGTACAAGACGGCCCGGGCGCTCCGCATTGTCCGCTTCACTAAGATCCTCAGTCTGCTGCGGCTGCTGAGGCTGTCCAGACTCATCCGGTACATCCACCAATGGGAGGAGGTAGGACATTCCACATTTATGATTCAATGACAGGGACAAATTTGGGTGTTACTCTGACCACTCAAGGAAAAACGAGTTTGGTTGGAGAACATAGATTTAATGAGATCAGGTATACTGTGAGCATACAGGTCTAAAACACAGGCCAGTAAAGATGACAAGGTGAGGGTATGTTGGTTTATTAAGGAAATCACACAAAACAACATCAGTTGAAATGAACACTTTTGGTATCCTGCTCTTCCTTTTCCCTTATAGATACTAGATCTCCACCGATATATCACAATATTAGCAGCAGATATTAGCCTACTGATAAATTGGTATCGCGTATGGCCGATAACTAACAAGAAATTGCTGTACAGAAATGCCAAAGTAGCTTTGAGGTCATTTAGAAACTGCTCTGTTGTTTTTCCACCAGAAGCCACTGACAAGTTGATGTATCGTCATCAGACTTCTATAAATTGTTGTTTATGTTTAAAAAATTACTGCTGATATATCATCTTCTTATTTGATTCAGTCGGGCTGTATAATATAATGTCTCTTACCTTTGCAGACAATATCTTGCACATTTCTTCAACATGTTCTTTAACAACATGAAGCATCTTAAGTTACCATGAAGTAGGGATGTAACGGTAGACTCAAGTCACAATTCAATGCATTTCATGATCACGATTTTGTTTAACAAAATGAAATTGAAGACAAATTATGACTGAAAAAGATTCCTTTGTTTCTTCATCAATTATAGAACCTTTTATAAAATTCTGAAGTATACACATATGTGCACATTTCCTTTTCTATGCAAAAGTGAAACTGATGTCCTTGCACCTTGATACAGCTACTGTATGACGTTGGAAGTTGGACAAGCAAAGTCAAAAGTAGATAGCGCCCTCTGCTGTTTAAAAAGAGTTTCACAATGAATTTTTCATCTCACCGATTTGAATCTTCACATATTTGTATCATCACTGTCTCGCGACTGATCTTTACATTCCTACCTGAAGACATAGATATTGAAAGAAAGCCTTCACAAAGTTGTATGTTTGTTATGAATCCTGCTGATTAATTTTAGGGCCGAACAAAAAGGCTCATTGGCTTCATTCCAGATTAAAGTCATCAAAGCTTTATTGATCATTGCTGATGTTGCAGTAGTTGCAAGTAAGCTGCAGATTGATATTATGACTGTATTTCCCCACCACTTTCAATTGTGTTTGCTTATAAAAAGAGAGAGAATCCATTCTGACTGTGCTCTAATTAATAAGACAATATTGGATTCCAGTGCAGTGGTTTGTGTATATCAAAACAATCCTCCTCTGTATAATTACTTTCTTACACCAAAAATGAGGTTTTACCATGTTGTATAACAATAAGCCCGATAGGAGCTGGATAATAGCTCATCATAACCCAGTGTACTGATGCTGTTAAAAATTCATGAAAAATTAATTTTGGCTCATCAGTGGGAAAGTGAAAAGGAGTTTTCCAAGGAATGAACCTCCATGGACACTGATTGCCTTTTTATTCTCATAACAAGAACTACCCTTTTTTTTATTTTTCTTATTGTTTAACTGTGGCATTCCAACGAATCAATGCATCAAACTGTTGTAAATGGATACTGACAGACTGGCTAATGCAAGTTTTCTGATGACATGACAGGAAATAGTGTCCATCCATAGATAGATGATGCATTATCATCCATCATATAACAATATGCTGCATAAACACAATTAACCCTGGCCTGCTATGTGCAAGTGCTTACTGAGTAGGGGAGAGTGGGGTAAGTTGAGCCAAAGGGTAAGTTGAGCCGCCCCTTGTTGCTAGGAAATGGTAAAAAACATTAATCATGTGACCAAATATTTAGGAGGAAGGCATCATTTCATGGAGTCTGTGAATGTAAGAACCACATGGGTAAAGTGGTTAGATATTTATTTCCAAAAAATCATTTTTCACTCTTGAAAGTGAATTTAGTCTATCATAAGTTTCATGCGAATTGTGTTTAGACCAAAATAGATCATTTTAAATGTGTTTTATACATCAGTTGTGGTATCTATGAACTACAACATGAGGTCATAAACCTAGCATAAAAGTGCACCATTTTAGCTGTGTGGACTAATAAAGTCAAAATGGTAGCTCTGGGGTAAGTTGAGCCATTTGGCCAGGGGTAAGTTGAGCCGGTGGCTACAGCCAAAATGCACTTAATAAGTGTATCCAAAAACATACTCTGTGTATATTCCAAAAACACAGCTGTTAATGTTTTCTTCCTAAGCGCACTTTAAGGCATCCTCATGTTAAAATGTTTTTTCACAAAACAGCTGTTTAGCAGTAATATGCAATAATAATAAAAAAAAGTTATTCTGCCTTTTACAAATAAATAAAATACACATGAATGTGAAGAAGTGAGTGTTATTTAGGGAGGGAGAAGGTGAAGGAGTGGTGGGGTGGAGGTGGGGAGGAGGGTGGGGTTGGAGAAGGGATATGGCTCAACTTACCCCACTCCTATGCTCAACTTACCCCGTGTATGGGGTAAGTTGAGCCACGAGACCACCTTTTTGGACAAGCTATATTATCGAAACAGTTATGTTTACACTCATTCTGTTTGTTTGAAGGGATGCACAACATCCTGAAATATATGCAGATATATTGGTTAGTGACAAAACTATGATTTCCTTGATGTAGTGATCCTAAATATGGAAAATGGCTCATCTTACCCCACTCTCCCCTATATAAACTGAGGATCCCTGTTTGGACTAACCAAGCATCTATGAATCAAATGTGTGCGTTCCCTCACTCTGAAAATAACCACTGCTCTTCTGATTACAGAGTGGTAATTTGAGCTCGATGAGAACCATAATTACCAATCCAAATGCTCGCAACTGAATGCTCCTTTGCTTCGACTCAGCCCTGCCCTCCATCAGCTTAGTTCAGCTGAGCTCTTCTCTGCTCAGCTCGAATCCAAACGCGGCTGGCTGCGTTTCCCCTCTGCCCAGCTCGGCTCAGCTCAGCTTCGCTCAGCTTGGGGGTTTCCTGAGAGATCATCTCAGTGTTGTGATGATTTCACCGTTTAGCTCAGCCACAGGCCAAATGAGTAGAGAATACTGGTCGGCAACCATGCTCATCATTTAAAAAAATACAGAGCGAAGTGATGTATTTTTGACATGATCCTTGAATAGATTGGTGTGTGTGTTTGTTGAAGCAGAGATAAGCATTGTCAGGAATAACCAGAGCAATTTCCTGTGGCAGGAAGCTTGTATCAAGGCTCTACACTTGCTGGCATGACCCAGTAGATCATGAACTAGACAATGACAGTGAATAGTCAGAGTGGAGAATGGTAGTGGGAGTAATATTAATCAGGTTCAATAGTTTTCTCTAAATGTTTTCATCGGAATCGTCTGGATCAACGTGTATTTGACCATGTGCAGCAGAGAGGAGTAGAAAGTCTTTTATCTGTGTTTTGTCAGGCTGTGAGTTGTGGTCACAGTAATGTGCCTTGACCCAGATTGTGGTCTGACAGTGACACATGGCCAGGTGCTGTTCTGGTGTCGGGGGGAACATTAGTCCTGGAGCCTCATTAATCATGATGGGAACGCTTCCTAATCACAGGGCAGGGCCTCACAGCGTGTTTCCCTCTCTCCATCTCCAAATTGGCTCAGGCCATTAGCCATTATAGGAAATACTCCAACAAAGTATAGATACTAGTATCTCTGGCCAAGTACATTTTAACCAAGAGCTGAGGGATAAAACTTAAAATATGCAGAAGAGGGAAGAATTAAGAAACATCACAGCATATATTTCATATCAAACAGGATGTAATTCACCAAGAAGAAACAACACCTTGATGCTGAATATATATGTAGATATTCTATATATGTTAGATAAGGAGGAGATGTTTAAAGCATAGACAACTAAAATACACAATACTATGTTAATGAGCATTTCAAGCATTTGATGTGGAAATTACAAACAGGATAAAGTCAAAGAAATTCATAAGACACAATGCCCAGAGCTGCATGAGTAAGAATCATGCACACTGGTGAGTGGGGGTGTGTGTTGGTCGGGTTGGATGGAGGAATATGTTAGACTGGTTGGCTCTCTTATTTTCAGACTGTAATTAACAAGAGAGATTTGGACCTCTGGGATTTAGAGAAGAGCAGGTTTTTATATTCAAGTGAGCTGCGAGTTTAGGTCAGTGAGGCCTGTGAGGTGACGGGTTGAGTCAGAGAATGTCCTGACCTGGCTGCCCCCAAACTGTAAATTCACAGCAATGTGTGTGTGTTTGAGACATGATACACACACTGTGTCTGGCCTTATTCTAACAATTTTCTGGTCTCAAGTGAGAAATGAGCCTTTATTTTTGATAAAAGAAACCATCAAATTGGCCCAAAAAGCAGGGCTTTCCGATATGCATAAATATACTGTATATATTATATGCAGACATACAGGCAGCATCTGGCCTACTTCCCTAGTAGGACAATTCTCGCTCCCTAGTGGGGAATATGCTTTGCTTACAATTTAGCGAAGCCTCCAGTTGGCCTAGCTAAGCAAGGATTACACACCAGTGCACACACATGCATGTAAATCTACCCTCATACACAGACACACATAGTCGTAACAAGGCCTGGCCAGTTGCCAGCGAAACCACAGTGTGTGGTGTTTATAAGACTGTGACCACAAGACCAGCTCCATACAAAGGAGCCTTCTCACCTGAGGGGAGTAAATGTAAGAAACAGCAGAGAGGGGCCAGGGCTGCTGATCAAAGCTTCATCAGAGTCTGATGAGGTTTTTTATTGTGAATGAGAACAGACTACAGACTTTGTGCTTGTTCATTTTCCCCACCTGGTTACAATGTAGAACCTCAGCCTGACACATTATTCTGCTAAGATGGATGATATACAGCATGCATTAAAAAAAAAACAAATTTTGTTACTGATTAGTCATCACGCTGTGTGTTTCATGATACTGTGTTAAGTTGTAGCCCCTGTTATATATTCACTATTTGAAGTACATATACATTATTGGGAAACCCAACTGGCTTTTTAAACATATAATTCCCTGCAGCTCTTCCTCCCAGGCTGTTGTCTCGCTTAAAGCTGCACTAATCAATATTTAATATTAACAACTGATCGAAAGACTACCTGTAATGTGAAAGGGAGTTGCTTATTGTGCCAGACTCACAGTAAATTATCAGCCAACTCTGCAGCTCTCTTGTGGTGGTAAAATATATTAATACTGCTTTAACAGTATGTTGTTAGCCAAACTATCCCCCTATAGATAACAGTACAGAATATATATGTTGTTCTTTACTGTTATCTAGCTAGATCCTGAGAAATCCTAAATATGCATAAGTTAAGAGCTACATCTCCTGAAAATAACCTCGATATAGGCCAAATAGCAAAACTCACTGACTATCTACCTTCAGTATATCGGTATGCTGCATGTATAGTTTGTGAAAACAGACTCGACTGTTTTACATTTTACCTCAGTCTGTATTAACATAAATTGTTTTTTCATTCCTCTCACACATCTGTCTCTGTTTTTTTCTTCCTCTCCACTTGTGTAACCCTCTCTGCTCATCTCCTCTCCTCCTGACAGATCTTCCACATGACCTATGACCTGGCCAGTGCTGTGATGCGAATATTCAACCTGATTGGTATGATGCTGCTGCTGTGTCACTGGGATGGCTGTCTCCAGTTCCTGGTTCCCATGCTGCAGGACTTTCCGTCTGACTGCTGGGTCTCTCTCAACAAGATGGTGGTAAGCAAAATGCTCTGTGTGTATGCGTTTCCGCGAATGTGGGTGTTGGCGGGGGTTTAAGGTATTTGTAAGTCACAATCACATGAACAGTATGCAAAAGTGTTTGGCAGAACAAAGGAAAGCATACAGCGCATTCTCCACGGAGCACAAAGGTGTGTTATCTGCAGGCAGATGGGGAAATGGGATTTATTTAAGGTTGAGACCTGCACACATGCACACACACACACACACACACACACACACACACACACACACACACACACACAGGACCAGCCTCAATTAAACCCTCTCTAGTTAAACCCAGGAGACGTGCCAGTGTACAGAAAGCCAGGGATGAAAAAGAGACGGTTTTCAGTTCGTGCAGCCTGTCATGTGGTTTGTTCTATTGCCATTCTCTTGTCCGTCCTTCCTTCAAACTGGCAGGTAGCTTCTGGCCATCTGCTGATAGGCAAGCCAATAGGAGAGGTGTTCTCTGAAATGCCGGCATGAAAGAAAAAACTCTCTGGAGAGCAAGTGGTGCAACACTCCAGTTGCATGAAAAACAACTTTCTAACCAGACAATTAATGAATGATAATTATTAAAAGCATATTCATTTAAAACTTTAACCAGCCAGTATTTGGCCAAACAGGAGCATCACTTGCTCAGTCAACCTCTTAAACCCTAAGTCAAGCGTTTCACCCGTAGCTTTACAATAGTATCACAGGCATCAGTAGCAATCAACAGTACCACAAACAACAGCTTTCAAATGGCCATAAAGTTGGATTAGCACCCCTATAACATAAAACTGTTTGGATGAATGTTGAACATAACATTAATGAAGGTGGGATTTATTGCAGGGCTGGTGTGTTAGACTGTATTAGTTTTTGTTGCTCCTAATAAACTACCAGATGGGGGGCGCATTCAATGTGATGTACATCTTTTTAGACAAATGTCCCCAAAGCTCAGTCTGACATTCAGTTTTCTTTGGAAACTTTGAGCAACTTTACTTGAGTAGAATTTCAAAAGAAGTTTGGTGGGTTCGAACCAACCGAAGGGCTTAACAGAGGGCTGTCTGTTTATATTCTCTGCGCTCCACCAAGGACAAACACCTAGCTTTTTTTCCTCTTTTTTTATAAGCTATTAGATTTCTTGAATAAATCATAAAAAACAATCAGGAACACATACAGAGGAAAAATACAGAAGGAAAAAGTTTTTCCCTTGTTGGGTATCATTTTAGACTTAAACCCTTCCATCCTGTCTGACTCTCATTCTGTAACGGAGATAAAAGACTTGGTGACTGACGGTGCCAGAGGCATTATGAAGTCAGGGGATGTGAGCAGTGAAACACATAGGCCTGCTAGCCCTATGGTTATATTCTGTATTTCACATACATACACACATTCCTCCCCTGTATTACCTGTGGTACACCTAGTGGGTTAAATAGATTGGGAGTTAAAGAGGACTGCTACTTATTGCTGTAGCATCAGAAGCTTCAGATCTGAGCTTTCGAGGAGGCTTAAACAATTTCTTGGATTAAACATCACATAATTGTTGTGTCTAAGGAAGTTCAGCAGACTGGATAATTCCTTCCCCGTGCTTTTGTCGGGCGCAGTCGGTTTCCTGAGCCGTCTGACGCTGCTGTCACTAAGAAATGTTTAATTTGCTGAGAATGAAGCTTCTAATTTTGGCACATATATTTGTGACACTCAGGCCTCGAAAATACTCTTCTGAAAACACTCTGTAGCATGACACACTGTTGTGCGTACTTGTGTGTGGAGGTTTTGTGTGTGTGAGTGTGTGAGATCTCCAGGAACAGATGGATCTCACACCCATTGACCCTAGGGGGACATCACTGTTGCTTCTCTGTCGTTCCATCTCTTGTTTCTCGTTTTATCCCTGGCCATCTTTCTTTCTAACTCTCCCTCTCTCTACACACACACGCACACACACACACACACACACACACACACACACACCCCACACACACACACACACACACAAAATATATTCTGTTACAAGTAAAAGTCCTGTATTTTACTTACTAATTTTACTTGAAAGTAAAAGTACAAAAATATTACCATCAAAACATACTTAAATTACCAAAAGTAATTACTCATTATGCAGAATGGTTCATTTCAGAATAATGTTTATTATATCATTGGATTTTAATGTTTGATGCACTAATGTGTACAACGCTTCAATGATGCAGATGGTAAAGGAACACATTTTTAATGACTTTTTAAATATACTGCTGAGTAACTGTTATATTACCCCCCTGATGTTCAATAAACGCCTATAATAATAATAATAATAATAATAATATATTTTTTGTTTTCTATATTATTCATCTGAATCTGCAAAGTAATAATAGCTAAAGTCATCAAGCAAATGTAATGGAGTAAAAAGTGAAATATTTCCTTCTAAATTGTAGTGGAGTAGCAATACAAAGTATCAGAAAAGGGAAATATAGGTACCTCAAAAGTGCACTTAAGTTCAGTACTTGACTAAATGTGGAGGCCAAGAAGAACCCCACTGCTGTGCTCCAGCTTTATAACTCATATCTGGCTCACAGTAGCAGTATCATAGAATTTGACTTGGTTTGACTGAGGGAATAAAGTGACAAGAGTTTGGACGTTACTTGGCTCCACTTGTTTCTCTCTCAAATATGCCTACTCCCCCGAGAACCGGAGTTGTTTTCTCAGTTCACGGTTGGAAATATAAATATGCTGATCTCTTATTAGCACCCAACTCCAATTCAGAGTTACATTTTATGTTGATGTTTTCCAATCTCAGAGGTTAGGCAGCTTCTTTATTGTACAATTACAGTTCTGTGTACAATGTTAATTATCACCAAAAGCTATGAGTGCAGGGAAAATATATTCTCTAACTGTTCCAACTGTTCTCTAAGTTGTCATCCATGAACCCGGCCTTTGCTGACTTGCTGCACTCCTTTGCTCCCTTGTGTTGTTTACGCCTACGTGTCATTTTCCGAACGAGATGCCACAATGCCAACGAGCACCCATGTGGGCGTGGCCGCCTGGTGTGCTCATGCGCCTTTCTGATCTCAGGGTAATCAAGGTCAGAGATCCTATTCAGAGTGGCTTTGAACGAGAGACGCAGCGTTAAATGATCCCTGTGCTTCTCCTCAGGCTGACTGGCTGTCTGTCTGTGCCGGACATTTACTGGACTCCACCCTGCTTTCCTTATTGCGTCACCCATGCTCTTAGACTATGGAAATACTGTTCTGCCACATAAACAACATGTGATTCATTCACTCTCTCAGAAGCTTTCGTAGCTGCTTCCATGTGTATGTGAGACTATGTGATATACAAATAAGTGATAATCAAAATAGCCTCATTCTCACTCTTTTCCGTCCTGTAATGTATTCAGCTCTGCCTCAAAACACTCAAAAACAGACTGTGACTTGTAAAAGATATGCACGCAGCAGACAGTGGTGTTTATTATCAGCCTGATAATGAAGCTCCGGCAGCACAGTGATCACAAGAGACCAAATCATCATCACTGTTATTTAGGGGGCTCTCTGTTACATGGATGACAGGTGGTTTTGTCCCATCTACCTCAGTCGGATTGGCTGCTGGATCAATGGCATTAGAATAAAGCCTCTCTCTTCCTTTTCCACTTCTCTCTGCTTCACTCTGAGCTCTGTTTCTGTATTTAATATTAAGGCTGCTGAGTGACATTTTCCTGGAGAAGAACAGCTGCTATAATTGCAATAGTACACCGATTTGTGTGGCTTTAATATCTATGCATATACTCACACACGGATGCACTTCAAGAAACCCTCCTGCTTTGAAAGTTAATAAGGATATCCTCCATTCATTCAATTACTGAAGTGATCTAACTGGCAGGCAGGCCTGTCAGCGCTCGTAAGAATAACGGACAGTTACTGTGTGAGATGTGTGTGGAGGTGTTTGTGTGTATGTGAGTGAGTGACAATTGTCTGTTCTGATCAAACAGCCTCTTCTATTACTTATATGGCGAATTTACTATAAAGTGTAAGGAGGAGGAGGAATTGAACCCTCTTCAATGTAAGGAGACATACATTGAAGAGGGTTATTAGCTCCAGTCTGAGCTAATTTGTGTTTTGCTAGGTCAAGCCATGTGTTAGCTAGTTTAAAAAGAAATGCTGCACAGCCTGGTTGGAGCTGCAGTCTTTGTGGGGCAAGATGCCCCTGTGAGACCAACCTCATTTGAAGAAGAAAAGTTTCAGCTGTGCAGTGGTATGCAGTTTTACTGAATGACCGGATAATTATTCAGGTTTATAATATTCAACTTTTCTCTTTATATCTTAAAATAATATAATTTAAAGCAAGTTAAACTCTAAGAAAAAGTAAAGAAATTAGTTTGGAAAGAGTTAATACTCGGTTCTGTGAGGCTGCACCATAGATGGCATAAAGATGGATGACATGGCAGCTCCCCGGAAGTGGAGCTAAATTGATCACTGCCTGGTAGCTGGTGGCAGTACAGGTTATAAGTCCTGTACCCTCTATATTAGTGCATGGGACATGAGCCAAACTAAAAATTCAAAGTACCCATCAAATTAATTTTCCCCAAAAGTAATGTATATAAAGGATGTATATATTCAAATGGTATTACTTCATATAAGTTTGTTTTTATTACATTTTTGCATCATGATTAACAGCTATGATTGCGTCTTGGTAGGGGGCCAGCTGTCAATCAAGTTGAGTTAAAAAAAATTAAACACAACGTGAGTTGAGTCTGATGGGAATTTCATTAGTTTTTCAATTTGGTCATGAACAATAAATAAGAATTAATTGCAATTTCAATATACTGTTTTGATATTTTAGCCTGGAGTAAATGGGAGGACCAATCAACAGACCAACATTATTATCCATAAATCCATACTGGCAGCGTTGCTAAATAAGCAATTGGCTCTTCCCAATGTTAAGTTTAAATGCAATATGAGAATGATAGCTGTAGTGTTCTTCATTGTTTTCAGTTTTCATTTATATTAAGGCATAATATATCAAAGTCAACAGAAAGATGTGATGACAATTTACAAAGCAGAAAATCTCCTTCAATTTCTGTATTTTGTGTCAGAGGGGGGAAGTTAAATAGACTGTAAGAGGAAGGGCTGAAAACAAATCTGGGGAGATAAAACTAGCCCTTCCTGTACTCCCAAATAAGTTAGACTATCCTCCCTTTAGCTGCTGTAACAGTTCAATAGTGTATAAAATTTATTGCAGAGTCTCCACTGTAACTATACAGAAGTCATGAAATATAGTTAGTTGAAGCAAGTAAACACATAATTTCATCTGATCTGTTATTATTATTATGTGGACGTTTGTTGAGCACATGATGTTGAACTTCTTCCTCTTGATATCTATCAAAGGAGAAATACCAATTAAAGTTAATGAACTCAAACCCAATAACAGCGTATTGAGCAGCACAAGCTATGATCCATTGAGTCAAATTATTCTGTTAAATCAATTAAAATCCTGCCACATGATTTACAAGCATCCATTTCACATCTGATGAAGTCAGTTAAGGATACACAGGAGTCAGCGCAGTAAGACTTCCATAAACCAGATGAAAATAAATGATTAAAATCAAGAACACTTCAAGTACAACTCACTTAACGTTTTAGCTATGTTGGTCTGTTTGTTGGCCGGTGAATGGGTTCATCCTCTCTGGTCCAGACTACAATACTTTAAGAACTGCTATGAAATGTTGTATGAATATTAATGGTCCCCAGAGGAAGAATCTTACTTTAAAAAGCAATTGAGTATTAGATTAATTCCATTTTTTTAAAGGGTGTTTAAACCCGCAAAACCAGACTACAACTAGACAGCAATGTTGTAAATGTAAACTGAGGGCTATGATCATGGATTTTAAAGGGACTGTAAAAGTTTTTAGTACTAGATTTTATGGTGGTGTGTTCTTAACGGTTTTCCTAAAATTAAACTACTATATATAAGTATCACAATATATCCTAATATACTCAATTGTAACCTCTGTATCTTGGTATGTATGGTATCACCAGTTTCTTTCCAATACACAGCCCTACATTTAAACTTGTGAAGCAGCCAATTAAAACTTTTAAATTTAGCTTATTGTAGTCTGTTATTTTTACTTCAACACACACTCCGGTTTAAGTTTATGCATGAGTAATCAAGCGAAATATTTTAGTATGTCCGCATTCTTCATTAATAGGTTACCGTGAAGTACTTCCAGCTGACACCAAACCATCTTGCAACTTTCTGTACTCATTTGGTTTTAAATAATGAATCCAAACAGGAACTCACTGCCTCTAAATAATTGATCTTAACATTGCTAACAAGGTCTTTTATGGCAGTTTACATATTAATATTCTTAATGTCAGTGCCATCTAACTACATGTCAGTCCTTTCAAGCCAACCAAACCCAACATGTCAGTTTTAGACTGTCAGAGAGGGACTGCAACCTGTCAGGGAGATGCTCAGCAGCATGACTGACACACACACACACACACACACACACACACACACACACACACACACACACACACACCCAATCAAAGCTGAGTGCCAAAGAGCATGTAAACCCAGATGGACGTGCCAGCATGCACGTACACTCACTATTCTATACTTACGCCGTCATGCATCATAGATGTCCCATACTCCCTTTTGTGTTCCTCCCTAAATGTATTATGTACAATTAGCTATCATCCACACTGCTCAGTGAAGAGCGATGGCAAATAAAATGAACACAAGAGCTAATTTCATTTGTCCCCCCCCCCCCCCACCTCACACAGGGTGGTATCTCAGTAGAATTAGTTTATTGTGTTACTATGAAGCCTGTAATGTCCAATAGTAAGAGACAGCTGTACACTGTGTCAGTTTTAATCAGCTATTATCTCAAACTTAAACACGTATTGTCTCTCTCTCAAAGTGCTTTCCGGCTCATGCAAAGCTAAGATAGCTAGCTGTTACTTCATACTTACTGTACAGACATGAGAGTTGTATCAAGCTTCTCATCTAACTCTCAGCATACATTTCCCAAAATATCAACTATTCCTTTTAAAGCATACATGTAACCAGACATGCTTTGTCCATTTTAATTTACAGTATATGTAAACATGCATATGGTGTGAATGTGTCCATTTGTTTCAGTACATCAACCTGGAGCATCAGTTCTTCTTTAGTCAGGTTCGTGGTGGTGGTGGTGTTGTTTTTATATGCAGCATGCAACGTAAACATTGATGTCGATAAAATCATTTCTAGGAATACTCACACAGCCGCACAGACAGACTGAGAGTAATGCATCTTCGACCCATAGATATGTTATATTATTACTGGCAGTACCCCAGTGGATTTACTGTAATGTTGTGTTATAAATGCCACAATAGCATGTGACAGTACCAAATAGCCTGTTTTATCATCAGCTAACCCCTCAGGAGCTGTCGTATAGATCACAGACAGACAAGCCAGGGGCTATTTCTGGGTTTTATGTACAGTATCTACTCAGCAGCAGTCCATTTTTCATATTTGTTAGCATTGTAATCTAGTTTCCTTTGTACAGAGTATTGTACAGTACGTTTAGAGTAAACCCCACCCAACGTAGTTGAAGATATCATTCTGTGGTGCTCTGTCCACTAAGGTACTGTACTGTATATTAATATTGAGTGTGTGTGTGTGTGTGTGTGTGTGTGTGTGTGTGTGTGTGTGTGTGTGTGTGTGTGAGAGAGAGAGAGAGAGAGAGAGAGAGAGAGAGAGAGAGAGAGAGAGAGAGAGAGAGAGAGAGAGACAGATGCAGTCGTGTGTAAGAAGGTGTTTATTTCTGTGCCTGGGCTCTGGGTTAGGGCCTCCTGCTCCTGCTGTTTATCCACCAGCAATGTGGCCAGCATGCTGATGGTTGACTGGAGGGATTCAGCACTGGGTCTGTTCACCAGCCGGGGCAGTGGGGATGAGGCTCACACTGAGGCTGGGGGTGTTTAAATGCTCTGTCGGGGAAATATTGCTTATTATAATGGGCTTAAGGGTTATGGCTGACAGTTAGACAAGGTCCGCAGTTACAAGGTTATATCATTTGGAAATAACAACAAAGCTGTAGATATGAAGATGATTCTTGTAGTCTTACAGTCCTGTTTTCTGTTTTTGTGAGTTTATCTGTCTTCATTGAAGATTACAAGGTCCAGTTTATCTCTTCAAAGAAATCCAAACAACTGATCCAGCTGACAGATATTAAACTTTAAGCCATTCTCGGGGGCTGGAGCTAAGCTCACGGTCTGACACCAGGGCAGAGTTATCCTGCTGCGTGAGGCTAAGTGCCTTTAAAATCTTTTTTTCTTTGCTGTTTCTCAAATCAAATCAAATCTGAGGGCAGCTTCCTGCCAGTATATCCTCTTTCACCTCCTCCGAAACCAACCAAATTTGAATCTCAAATTAAATGCAAATTCCCCTGGAAAAATACAAATCAGATAGGAATCCTAGCAGTCAATCATTGACTGTAGATACCACTTGTCCCAGAGAGGGACAGAAGGAGTTTGAGAAGAAACACACATGCAGCAGTAAACCCCTGACAGCGCGTGAACCACAGCTGTTTGAGGGGAGGATGTGAGGTTCAGCTGTGCCTGTGGAGGGCTTTCTAATGAATCTAACATGGGAGAATTAGGGTTGACTGAGTGTGTGAGCACCAATCAAAGGCAGACTGGAGCAGGCAGATGTACAGGCTCCTCATTAACACCCACTTTTTTCCCTCTTCTCTCCACAAAACCTGAAACGATCACCAGACAGAGAGCCATATACTGGAATACCATACCATACCAGGAATGTCTCACTCTTCAGCCCATTTATTCTTAAATTCTATCACCACTTCTGGCACACTCTAACTCGTATAAACTTTCACTGCAGTGTATTTTTAACAGTCTACTTTTGGCAGAGACGACAGGCTGGGGTCAGCAGGTCAAAACCATTGCAGCATGAAAGTAAAAATATAAAAGTAGGGAGCTACTCTAGGAGGACAGAATAACCCCGATTTTTCTCTCCCATCTCTTCCACCTGCCTTATATTTTGTTTTCCCAACTTAATTTTTTCCCCTTCTCCCTCCCTCCATCTCTCCCTACAGAATGACTCATGGAGTGAGCTCTACTCCTTCGCCCTCTTTAAGGCCATGAGCCACATGCTGTGCATTGGATATGGAAGACAAGCCCCAGAGAGCATGTCGGACATCTGGCTGACCATGCTCAGTATGATCGTTGGAGCCACCTGCTACGCCATGTTCATCGGCCACGCGACCGCTCTCATCCAGTCTCTGGACTCATCCAGACGGCAATACCAAGAAAAGGTAATTTTTAGATATCTGTCTCTGAGATTTCAGCATTACAATAGTGGCAAATGGAACTTTGTAGTGTTAAAAGCAATGAAAATGTTTATTAAATGGTTCAACAGTTGAGAGAAATTGGCTTATTTGCTTTCTTTCTGAGAGGTAAAATCGATACCACGCTTATGTATTTGCATGAAGTTGTATGTATGAAGCTAGAGCCAGGAGGCAGGGGACACAGCTAACCTGGCTCTATCTAAAGTTTAGAAAGTATACCTGCTAGCTCATTTAAAGCCATAGCAATTTCTGTTTCCAGTCTTTATGCAAAGCTAAAATAATCTGCTACTGGCCATAGGTTCATACTTAATGGACAAACTGGTGACAGTGGTATTGATGTTCTCATCTAACTCTGGGAAATAGAGCAAATAAGGGGGTAACCTGATAGTTCCACTGGTAGAGCTGGTGCCTCACATATAGGTGTCCTTCTTACACTGGCCGTGGGTTTTGGGTCTGACCTGGGGCCCTTTGGTACATGTCATCCCCTCTCTCTCTCCACCTTTCCTGTCCATCTTAAGCTGTCCTATGAAATAAAGGCAAAATTGGACCCACTTGCATCAATGGTTCTGATAAAAAGGTGTCAAAACACACAGTGCATCACAGTTTGTTGCGTATGGGGCTTCGGTGTATGTTTAATAAAAAAGAGAACGAATGAGCATATTCCCATAAATCCCAATATCAAATTATTCTGTAGGTAAATCCATCCCCAAATCTTTTCAGAAACAATGTCCTGGTCACTCATAATCCACAGTCCATGCTGTAAACATTTTTTATTGGAACTACCTTCTACCAAAGAAATAATCCCCATGGAGACTGTGGACTGTGTGTTCTGTGGATTATCAGGAGTCACTGGGACAAAAGAGATGTTGAGATTTTTTATTTTATATTTAATTTCTCTTTGTATTGGTGCGGCAGCAGAAATCTCAGAGAAGGATATCTCAAAAAAGTAAAATGCTAAATCTTAACCTGCATGGCTAGATACCACTACAGCTGTTTGTAATTTGGGTGAACCAACCCGTTAAACTCAAACTATCTAAATAATTAGTACAGCTTGCTAGCTTTTGTGGAGAAATTAATAGAAAAAAGGAGTGATGGTTTTACTACAGTCTATCTTAGATTACTGGTGAAATAAATCAGGGGGTTAGCTACAGCATTACCTTACCTGTTCCCAGGTTGCCCCTCTAGAGAATGGGAAGACACCATAAGGAGACCCCATTTGTATTGGGTGCTTGTCCTCTACAACAATGTGGATAAGGTTATCACATTAGATATTAACAGAGAAGGTTTGCTCATTTGATTCCAACACACTTTGATAGGAACAGCATCTGTTCCATTAGTTCGATATTCATGGCTGCAGCTCGCTGGGCCTCGCCCTGTCTGTCATCTCCGTACAACGGCAGATCAAAGCTTTCTGTGTCTGCAGGCCGGGGCGGGGAGCACACTCCTGCTTTATAAGGCCATGGTGTCAGCGGTGCTCTGTGTCTTGTTAGCTTCCTTAGATCCTGCGTGATGTGGAGATGTCTTATGCTATCTATCACTTGTTCACATGCATGCAGACACGCACATACACATCAGAGTGATTGGTCAATCTTTGCTGTTTAGTTGAAGCCTCTGGCGAATGTTTAGAACAAAAGGTGATCAGGTTTACGGCTGTCTTTCTGCGTCATATGCTGTTTTGGCCGTATAGCTTTATTCTGTTTATATTCTGGCACTTGTGGCTTGGTTATGCATTACGTTGGAGAGATAATCATATTGCTTTATTTTCTAGGTCATGATATCAGTAAGCATCAATTATGACATTGAGTTTATAGCAGACCAACTCTCCTGTGGGAGGGGCTGTGGTGGTCTTTAAAAAGTAATGAAGCTACTGTATGTATGTGTCAGATTCATGAGCATGCTAAATGCAGAAGGGAATAGACACATTATCAATGGATCTGGGGTACACCATCTATAATCACTGATGATACAGAACTCCACGTATAACTGTGTATGGTGGTTACACACAAACACACAGCGGGTGATGTGTGGCCTCAGTTTCACCTCAGTGATGTTGGTAAAAGACAGAGCATAATTTAAACGGTCAGTTTACTCAAAATACAAAATAATTCTGCTGCCATTGCTATAGAAAGGAGGTGAATAGAAGGTTGGTTGTGGAGCCAGTGATCAAGAAATTCAACAGAAAACTGCCTATCAAGGCCGTGGACTGTGTGACACGGGTATATTGATGTTTTTTAAATGTGAAAAAAAATGTTTTTAAGTTTTTTTTTTAAGTTATTATAAACTTATTTTAAACCTAAATGATTCAGTAGATTCATGGTAAGATGATGATTTTTATGTATATATGTATATATATATATACATTTCTATAAAGATTTTTTTGGTATATAAAAAAAGGCTTGTAGTGTTTTGTTTTTATTTATTCTTTACTTTCTAAGTGTTCATTTCTAGTATTGGCGGACAGTGTAGCCTATATGTTAAATTATTTACCATGCTAAATAATATCTAACTTAAATATTCTTTAATTAAGTTATTTAACAAAGCAGCCTTCTGAGTATCTTTGCATGGCCAAATCAGTCTAAACTTAAAAATTCACTATATCGACTGTCATACTGGTAATTGATTACTTTTCCCCCTTTAAAATTGGTATTGGTATCAATCTTAAAAAACCCATATCAGTCTGGCTCCAGTACTGTACCAAACCATCATATTCTTGTCAAGTTAGGTTTTTCACTCCAGCCATACCCCCTAAAGCTCTCCCACCATATCATTTTTCCAGTCTTCCCAGCACCTTTCACATGCAACTATTTCCATCACTTGTTCCCTCCACATTTTCATTGTAGGAGTTTATTAATCCAGTGAATAGTCTAAATGCAAATGTACTCTACTGCGGCACTATAGTTTTGTCCCCAAGGAGACCTTGGTGATTTGGACAGTTTACACTCTAACCATTCACCCATGTATTCCAGAACAAAGAAAAATACCACAGGGCACAATGTGTGCATGTATGTACTCTGTTCTGTTTTACACTTACACAACATAGACTGACCATCCATTTTATTGAGTCTTGTTGTAGTGCTGAACTATTAGTATATGTAATGAATAAATTTGCCTCTGGCCTCTCTAATGTATTCTCCGCTGCTGGAAAAAATCCTCTCCCACATTCCTTCATTAAATGCCATATCATCCTAAGGTTTTTACAACCATTGTTATTTACCCAAGGACATACCTCATGCCACTTGATGCTTTATGAAACATTGTTCACAGTTGTGCGTAGTGCTTGGCTGGATTTTTTGTGAAGTTAATTTACCCCTTAATCCAATGTGTAATTTGTATATATTTCCAAAGATGTCCCACCAGATCTTCAAATAGGTCGTCTGTGTTCTGATACCTTGTCTTAACCACTGAGCCCGATAAATAGTTTGTTTACCTATTTATATGTTGTGGTTGTACCATGTGGACATCAAGCTTAAACTCACTCCAATTTTCCAGATTAATTAAAATTTTATTTTAAAGTGTAATGATATAACCTATATCTGGATTAAGTTCTATAAATGCAGATAGAAGGTTGGCTTCTGATTTATGGCAATTAATTTTGTAACCAGATACTTTGGAATATACTTCAATAACTTTGATTAAACAATATATAGAGTTGTTTGGTTCTTGACTTGTTATATGGGATTTTAACCCTCAAACAAGCCTAACAGTTACTGTGCAGGTCTGTTTACTGCCCAGCCCAAATAACTCAGACTCACTGATTCTTGATCACTTATCTTTTAAATCCACTTCTAAAAAATGCACTCTCATAGACTCTTTTGATCTTGCCAACTTTTAACCTTGCATTGTTTCCCCCTTGCATTTTTAAAATCTAATTTCCTTTTCTAAAGTTATTTTTCTTTTGATCATGTTTTCTATTTTTATATCTCCTTTGCGCTTTATGCTGTATTATTTTATCATTTCATACTTGCCTTTATGCTATCCTGTAATGAGCTTTGTAAACTTTGAAAATAGCATTTAGTTTGCTTTAGCTAGTTTCTTATTTTGTTGTCCTTAAAATCTCAAAAAGTTATTGGCAGATTTTTATTGGAATGTGCTGGCAAGTTAGGTCAGTGTCTAAGGAGGGTGTGATTAGTGTTTGGCAAGGAATAGCACTACCAAGTGGCCAGTTATGTAACATTTAACATTTCTCATAACTCCCGGAGGAGTAGAGGAATATAATTAGAATGATATATATACAATATCATTTTTTGGTTCAAGCCGATTACTAAAAGCCATTCCCATTTCTGCCTAAACACATGTTCCACCATTCATCCTACAAACTTCATCCAGTCCTCACCAAATTTGGTATGTTACATAGTTGGGAAAAGTTTCTATACAATTATATTATAATTGGTTTCCAGATGGGCTGTTTGACATTAATGCCATAAGTCTAAAGGATGTCCTCTTGCTGCAAGCAGAGAGACTGAAGAGAAAAAATGAGAGAAATGGGAAATGAGCTGCTGAGTCTATGCTGGAGTGTCTGTTCTTTGTCAGTTACGTGTGGCTGTACTCTGTCAGTGATGTGACGTCTGCGGCAATCAGTTCCTGCTATCGCTCTCATTCTCCTCTTCTTCCATGATGCACAACAGTGAAGTAACGAACAAAGTGGCAACACCCTGCTAGGCTGGACTAAGACCACTCATCTCGCCCATCTCCAGTCCCCCATGACTGTTTGTTCATCATTAACCAATGAAGTGAACCATGCTGCGCTGCAGTCCGCAATAAGTCTCGTCATCAGATACCAGACTGGAGACAGAGCTATGGGTTGGAACTCGCCTCTCTGACAAAACACATTCTTTGCTCTAAGATATTGTAAATGCTAGTGACAGCATGGACTTGTATTGACATAACACAGAGTAAACAGTTAGCTTCGCACTCAGTGTTGAGACAGCCATAATAGCTCCAGCACTAAGCATCTTCTCCTGTCTGCA